ATTCCCTTTGCTTTAATCTTTATAACACTATTATTTGCATTCCCATAATTTCCTATGTATGCTGTGAATGTTGTTAATATAGCATCAGTCAGTATATATGATATACGAACATGATAACTCTGTTGACTGATGAGTTTACTCGATGCTGACCGATATGTAATTTTAAGGAATTTATTTGTTCAAAGATATTTGTTAAACTATCACATAATAACCCAGTTTTTGGTGGGGTTCGTGTTGCTTAGTCTTTAGTTTTCTATGTTGTGTCATCTGTACTATTATTTGTCGATCTGTTTGTCTTTTTATTTTTGGCCATGGCGTTGTCAGTTTGTTTTCGATCTATGAGTTTGATGTCCCTCTGGTATCTTTCGTCCCTCTCTTATACAATTTAGAAAGTATTGATCTGTAACGACACTTAAAAAAAACAGTATAACAAAACAAACAACAGACAAGTATACAACTTCAACATTGTAGTTGTAACCCTAGCTCGGAATATGGTAAATTTAAAACATCAATTTATGGATTATTCTCGTTTTGTACTTTATGTGTTGATAAAGTCGAGAGTGACAATTTACGAGTACCATAACATAGTTTCATTATGCTGACTTAAACAGATAGCCCTTAGACCTTTTAAGAACAATGTTAAGGACACTGTTGCTCTTATCTTTCACTACAATAAACATATTTGATTGACGGCTCATTTATTCAATGAAGAATAGTTCAGTCAAAATTTGTGAAATAGGTCTATGAATGAATAGAAATAAGTTAAAGGGCATCGCAAATATGAATGTTTACCCCATTATAACTGGTATTTCTCGAAAACCTGTCCACCTATTTTTGTTATTATTACGAATAATTCATTTGCAGTGATTACAAATAATTCATTTGCAGTGATTACGAATAATTCATTTGCAGTGATATACATTTATGTGGTGTCACTGTGTTCACTTATTAAGTAGAAATCAGTTAGTCTCGATATGCAATTCAATTCCACTGTAATTTCACACGAAATCATTGAAGTTTTGTTTTATCTGTAAAATCTTCAGAACAGCTTTTCACTGATCGATTTGCGCTACTTTAAATGGCTTAAATTGTGTATTGTCATGTACGTTGGGTTATGAATTATTTCGAATGACTGCAGTTTATTACGATTAAATTCAGCAGGGAAATAAATTGTTTCTGTTGTTATTAAGAGTTTAATCAATTTATCTGAATGTATCAAAAACTACGTTACAAAACGCAATAGAATTTTTTTTTAATTGTTGTTGAAGTTTTTGTAGTCATTAAGTATGTAATAATCCATCGACTAAAAAAATGTTGTTAATTGGATAAATGAGAAGACATGCTGCTGTTATTGTTTAAGTCGTACATGCAGTTTCGAAGTTTAAATTAGAAAAATTAATATATATATATATATATATATATTATTTTCTATTCTAAATAACTGAAAGAAGTACCCAATTTCGTTTTGTACCCAAAACAAACTAAAACGAAGAGCGGGGTAAATTGAAATATAATTTGGTGAAAGGAAATTATTTATTACACAAACATCAGTATATGACTGCTAATTGTTCATGTAGGAAAAGTCCAGACATTCCATTTAAACATTATTATGATTTGTTGTCTATTGCGGTAAAATCCGGTAAAAGACTACATCTTTCCTTGATATTGAATTGGAAAATTTAGACCCCTCTAACAAGAAATTTGTGTTGTTTTCACTTTAGACTTGTTTATATTTTTTTCGTTTGGGCTTGTATTATATTTGCCTTCGGGTTTATATGATCCGTTCATCCTATTTTGACTCCTCAAAATTCAAGAGTCTATCCTAAATTGAGGTAAATTGTATGACTTTCCAAATACCGTTTCGATTCCTAACATCACTGAAGAGACATTAATTGTCGAAATCCGGATATGGTGTACAAAAACCTTTGCACCTTTTGTTTGCGGTATACCATCTTTTCCGAAAGTTTATTGTTTTCTGTTAAGTATTAAATTTATGACTAATTATATAATTAAGACCCATTTATTACATCGGTGATCCGTTTATTTAGCAATCGCCAATGGCAGTCAGCAGGGTTTAAGAATATTTGTTGTTCGACCTGTTAGTCAAATGCGTTTTGTTAAAATATACTTTTCACTTTTTTGGTCTTTAAGAAAATGTTGTTTGTGCTGTATTTAGACCCCCTCTAACAAGAAATTTGTTTTGCATGCACACGTATAAAGATTGCGGTTTTTATCCAACGCAATCATAGGTTTGAACGTTGTTTTCAAATTAAACTTGTTTATATATATATATATATATATATATATATATATATATATATATATATATATATATACGTCTGAAAATCAAACCCAACAGTGTTAGAATTGGATTTTTATGCTGACAAATTTGTGTCCCTCAACGGGATTTGAACTCACACCTTGGATACACTACAGCACCAATCGCTTAGACCACTCAAACACATCCGCTATAAAAATATAACTTTAATAGTCGTAGTGTTTACCTTGTCTCGTAAGGCGAATCTAGAGATAGACATAAGACATGTGTTTTAAGCGTGTGTATGTACTTGGATATGATATTGGTAGGAAATAAGTGGCATATGTACTTGGATATGATATTGGTACGAAATATACCATATATATCATATGAATGTAAGCCAAACCTTCCTCTCCGTCGACATCTGAGATCCCCTGTATGCACTATAAGGCATATCTCAGTTTACACTGCCTGGTCTAGTAAGGAGAGAATCACTTTGGAAAGATTTTAAACGATTTTAAAGCGTTGGAACCAAACGGGATAAATGCAAAGTTGTAGGTCCAAGAATTATACCATCGTGGTTCAGTTTTTAATTTGCACTGTATTCAAGATTGTTTAAGAAAAATCAACATAGATTAATAAGATTCGTGCGTTTTATATTAAAGTGATGATTTGATTTTATTTTTGGTGTTTTTACGCCACTTTTAAACACCGCTTTTAGGTTATTTCGTGGCGTCCAGTTTTTATTGGTGGAGGAAGCCGGAGTGCCCGGAGAAAACCACCGACCTTTGATAGGAAAGCTGACAATCCTAGTCAATTAAGATTGGAGTCGAGAGCACCCGCACGAGCGGGGTTCGAACTCACAACCTCAGTGTTGACTGGCTAGTGATTACAGAAGTAACTACTTAGACCACTCGGCCACCGAGGCCCCCTTAAAGTGATGAAGGATACTTGTTATCCAAAATATTTATTGATCTTGTTTTTATTAAATTTGATGTTGTTGTACACTTTTTTGTATGTATATATATATATATATATATGATACAACAAACAAGAATGAAGGATTTAGAGAAAACTAACTTCGAAATGCATCACTTCCACCAGAAATACGTTTCAAACAAAGAACAACGATTAATATCCGATAGAAATCATGAATCTTAATAATCACTTTTAGAGTTACCCAGTTTCTATTGAAAATAAACTCATCATAGATTAAAGTACTTTTCTATGGATCATTCCTGCAATTTGAATCCAATGTCAAAATTCAGCACCCAAGGGATTCTTCAGAATTTCTTTGAAACGGACGGTGTTTTGAGAAAAATGTAAGGAACTATAACTTGATAAAATAATATTCGAATGAGATAGAAATAGCATTTCAACTGACCATTTAATTGTAAAAATGAAGCTTCATGTTATCATCTGTATACACTACAAACTGCTCAGAGTCTGAAAAGACCAGTTTTTGTGCTCGACCAGTAAAAAGTCGAGCACAGATTTTACTCGACAAGACTCGACATTGTCTCGACAGTACTTAACTGTACTTAACTGTACTCGACTTTGGTCTCGACTTTACTTAATGGGTCTGATTCAGTACTTGATGATCTTGGTTTAGTCTGAAATGGTCTCGACCCAGGCTCGACCAGTCTCGACCTGTCTCGACCAGTCTTACCCTGTCTCGACCTGTCTCGACCAATCTTGACTCAGTCTCGACCTGTCTCAACTATTCTTGACCTTCAAATTTAGTCTTGACTGGTCTGAATCAGCCTATCTAATTAAATTAAATATTGATCTTACAAAATTCCAGGTTATTTGGTAGTTGGTTCATTATTTAATTTAATTAGATGGGCTGATTCAGACCAGTCGAGACAGGTCGAGACCGAGTCGAGACTGGTCGAGCCTTGGTCGAGACCATTTCAGACTACACCAATATCGTAAATTACTGAATCAGACTTATTAAGTAAAGTCGAGACCAAAGTCGAGTCCAGTTAAGTACTGTCGAGACAATGTCGAGTCTAGTCCAGTAAATTCTGTGCTCGACTTTACTGGTCGAGCACAAAAACTGGTCTTTTCAGACTCTGGGCAGTTTGTAGTGATAGTTTAAAGTACAGGGAAACAAAGTATACCCACATTACGGACTTACTACTTTATAGGAGCCATTATGCAATCAGCTCATCAATCTGCAGCCAACACTTTCACAACAGAATAAGAATATCTATGTACGGATAAACCCTTTTTGATGCAGATAGAAGGGAAAAAAGAAAGCGTTTGACGCTTGGTGATAAAGGCCATTTCTACCCTTGGAATTTTCCATTTCCTAGACAATGTCAAATTTATTCTTTACATATGTATGTTAATAAAAAAAAGAAATATTTATATGTAATAAAAATAAGTAATCCATTAAACTTTATTAACAGTTCATAGCAACATTATACTGTATTCAGTTTTTTTTATTTTAGCCAACCTATAAACCACTGTTCCTCTGATTGAATGAAAAGTAGACAAAATGATACCGTAATGGACTGTTAGATGACAGCCTTTTTTATTTCATTTATTATAAATAATTACCAGAGCTAAATGCGAAAGGTATTATTTCTTTTTTGTTGCATTAAAGCCCACCTGAAAGCTTCGATCGTTTGAATTGGACAAAATTGATTTAAATAAAAAAAACATTTTAATTTAAATTACATTGCATAGTGTAATCTTGTTCCTGTTTGTATCATTGATGAGGTTTTTTTCGTTTTAGATTCTTTACCGTACGGTACATCACAAGCTGCAAATAACCTCTTGAAAACATTAAACGACAAGACGGGTACATCAGCTACAGAATCAAATACTGCAACATTAACAGCAACTGAAATTAAAACAAGCATAGAAACAGTCACGGAGAGAACAAATACTCAGAACAATCAACATACGACTATAGTAGCTACTACCAGAAATACGTCACCGGAAGTCAGTTCAGGATTCACATCTCCAGAAGTAACAACACCTTCATCGCTGAATGATAACCTGCTGACGTCAAGTTCTTCTTCTGCATGCTTATGTTCTTGTGTCGCTGGAATGAATTTCGACTTAGAAACTAGATTAAGGGAGCTGAAATTAGCTCTAGCAGTTAATAAAACAACTCTGTCGTCTTATCGGAGAAGATTGATAAGTGCAGACGATAATAGCCGAACATCTTCATATCTTGGTTATTTTGCAGGCACTATTTTAAGTTTGGTGCTTTTTTTTATTTTACTCCTTGATATGTCATCCTTTGCCAAACATATTAAATGTATTCAAAGACGATCTACAAGAATAACATAATTAAACCTTTTATCTGGTCCTTCTGAACATGCATCATTGTTGATCATTGTTATGCCATGTTGATAGATTTATTAAATTATGATTTTTCAATAAATAGAATTAGGTCATTTTATTTTTTTTTATATTTGAAAGCCCAAAATCTATACAAATAAACCAATTAAAAACAAAAATATTCAATCACATTTTGTTATGAACAGTATGTTGTAGAAATCATATAGTAAATTGGTGAAAAATGCAATAGTTACATTTTAAACTAAACAACTGCATTGATATTTTTCGCATATCCAAGCATAACAATTTTTAATTTGATTTTCTATAACATAATGCATAACCGATGAGCTTTTATTGTGACACTCGTCGTCTCTTCAAACGAAACACAACATTAGATTTCCTACGCATATTTATACGCAAGGAATATTGCCTTTTGATTTTGACGTATATATATTCGTTTAAAGAGCGAAGCCGATCACCAAATGTATCCTTATTGTAGAAATCACATCGTTAAACAAGCAAAATCTGGTTTAAGATAATAGTTCAGTAATATATTTTAAAAATGCAGATTATTGTGCAACATTCTACTCAGACATGAGGAAGAGTTAATAACTGGTACATTAAAATTCTGAATAAAAGTATGATAATAACTTAACCTTAGCTGTATTTTCGGAATTTTGGGTCCTCAATGCTCTTCAACTTAGTAGTTTATGCTCTTTGGTCGGGTTGTTGTCTCTTTGACACATTCCCTATTTCCATTCTCAATTTTATTTGGCCTTTTTTTTACTTTTTTTATTCGAGCGTCACTGATGACTCTTTTGTAGACGAAATGCACGTCTGGCGCACAACATTTTCATACTGGTATCTTTGGTGAGATTATTTAAATATGAATTAAACGAAATATGGCCTAAACACAATGTCAATGAGACATCAAACCAAAACACAAAAATCTACAAAAGACATCTAGTCAGAGGTCAATAAATCCTCTTCACAAGGAAATTGTCTTTACGCATTTCAACTACATGCCATCATACACCATATACTACTGTAAAACAATACAAACAACCAAACTCAAACTAGAAATTTTATCAGAACGTTGTTACCCAATGCATTGTGGACATCTAGCTAGTTGATGCTTATTGAGATTTTATTTGGTCGCTAGAACTGGTTGCTAGCTTGAAGTCGCTAAAATTGGTAGCTAGATTGAGTCTGAATGAATCCGACGAGGAAAGGCATCCTTTGACTAACGATAAATAGCATAGTTGGTTCCTTTGACTAACGATAAATAGCCTAGTTGGTTACTTTGACTAACGATAACTAGCCTAGTTGGTTCCTTTGACTAACGATAACTAGCCTAGTTGGTTCCTTTGACTATCGATAAATAGCCTAGTTAGTTCCTTTGACTAACGATAACTAGCCTAGTTGGTTCCTTTGACTAACGATAAATAGCCTAGTTGGTTGAGTGATCTAGGGCGCTGATCACATTGTAGGAGGAGTTGTCGCAGAGAATGGGTCAAATACCACGTGCACTGAGGGAAGGACAAAATATTGATACCGCATTTGCAGATCTGACTTTGTTTTAGACGATGTTAATAGAATTTGTGATTTAAGCCCGGTATCATCTCTAGGTTATCCTTAGGTGAATACCTGTCGTAGATTTTTACATATATATATATAGTAAACGTTTAAAAAAAGGGAAAAAATGAGATTGCATCGCAAGAAAAAATTAGTGTAAACGGGGTAAATCTGATAAAAATCACTTGGTTCTTATTTGAATAAAAGAATGAATATTGTAGATATTTTCATATCAATTTCGAAAATAGTCTAGCTATTAATAAAGATGATGGGTGACTGTTTCAAGTCCAGCGGTAAATAAAATGCATATTCAGAACAAGTTTATGTAATATGAATTCTGTGTGTTAGACCGACACGCTGAACCGGATTTTAATGTGCTAGTTCACAAGTCGACAGGAAGACATGTCACCTACCCAGAGACATTGTTCTGACTCCGAGCTGACCAGTCTTAAAGTTTGATCTTACTCCTTAATGCCGAGCTATTAATAAAAGAGCACATTTCTACGATTTAAAAAAGTACTAGCTAAGGGTTTTTGTTCGAAAGGCCGAAATACAACAAACAAAAAGACTCATCGATGACGCTCGAATAAAAAAGTGAAATGCGGTCCACCTTGAGTCAAATAGTATAGATAATATAATGGTCCTTTGAAAAATCAGTTCGTAAAATTATTTGCTGCAATTCATACAAATCCTTCTTCTGTGATGAAAAAGGTAAACATGCTAGAACACGACGAAAAAAGACATCACTCGAATAGCGCAGGTTATATATCTTATGTAGCAGAGTTGTCCACTGGCCTAGGGCGCACGACACAGATTTGCAGATATAACCGTCATTATTAGACTAAATGTTTACGAAATATTTGTAATTTGTAACATTAGCCCTGTATAACCATATGTTATCATACGGGGAATGTCTATTTTTTTTAATGTAGAGTTTTCATATATTTCGATGTATAAAACGAAAAATTATCAATATGCATACATGGTTAGTATTATCATTCTTTGCGACGGACAAACACATCTGATTTACAAGGCATTCCATCTAGATGCCTAAAACATCATAAACTGTGTTATAGTTCTAACTGAAATCGATTAGGAACGGCATCACTCGACAATAGAAAACTATATTTCTTATTATTTAGAATCCTGATTCGTTATACTAATTTCTAGATGTAAGAGGTAGTAAATTATATCACGTTTATTAAATTGATCGTAAATTCCTATTCGAATAAATCTAACCAAAAAAAAACAGTTTCGATAAAAACGAATTTTCCATAATAATAGAAGTTCATTGTCAATTTTATTTAATTTCAAATATTTGATTAACATTGAAATTGCATTCATGTCTAAAAGTGTAAATCTTGTGTAATAGTTTAGACCTTTTTGGCATTTAGTGCTTTTAATTAAATTGACATAAAAAGTTATCCAGAGTAAAACTAATATTTGAATTGATATCTAATAAATGGATTTGCATTATGAATATCAAATAGACACTTTTTGTTCAGTTGATTGATGACAAAGTAACCTGGCCTTTTAAAGTTTTACATACACCATCGTGATATAGTTGACAGTTATTGAATATATCTGTGTTATTTATGACCACGAATATGTTCCATTTGTCGTTGCTACAATCCCGTCCTCTTTTCCTCGAGTGCAGATGGGTTTTTTTTTCGTCGAATTTAAACTTGTTACACCATCGGTTTTATTTTATTTTAGTTTTTCATTGTCCCTTTGGTGTGTTTGGTGTCCTTCTATATCGTTTCAATGATTGTTACAATACTTAGTATTGGAGTGTGTCATACACGTTTTATTTCGGTACAATCTGTCGCTCTTTTTTATATCTTTTATTGTTGTTTTCGTCTTGAAAGTTCAAGTTACCGATAAGTCTTCCGTTGTATTTCATAAAAGACTAAGACATCAAGGAAGAGTCAAGCCTACACCAACCACATGAGAAATTTCTAAAAATTATCAAGTAAAATTATCACATTCTTATTTGAATGATCTTTCACTGTTACCTTCTCCATTACAAATGATTATACTGAATTTAGTTTTATTGCTTTAGCTTCAATAAGAAAAGATGACATTGGAATCATTTAATACCAATCCCTTCCGTCACAAATATAGTTTTGTATTTAGGTTTACCAACGTTCCTCTAGTACAATAGCATAGACCAATTAGTATTACATACAAAATATCTAATATCCTTTGTATACCATATACGCATTAAAAGAATATTTCTCATCATCGCAATGTTGCTAGAAACAATATACAGGAAACCATAATTTTCAGAAATTGAACAGCGACGTTATCAGCTAAGGGATTCTTTCACATTGAGAAGATAGAGTGAAACAAATTATTCATCTTTTTTGTCAACTGTAAAATTCTGAAATACCAATATTAAAGTACCACAATTTCAGTATTAAAGTACTAAATGCTTGGATAGTTAGCTACGTGTATCCCAAGTGAACTTAAAGTCCACAAGCGGCTAACAAATGTTAAGTTGCTAATCTTTAAGTGTCGGCGGCTGCGTCGTATGTTAATAATTTAATAAAATAATCAATGAAAACTGAGACAGCAGGGGATTGAATTTGTGATCTCTGTCCACAGTTGTTTTAGTTTTGTCGTTATCAAAGCATGCTTGATTGATTGATTGTTGGTTGATTACGTTCAGTAGCAAATATATAATGCGTATTCGGATGCGAGAAATAATTTAATTTGCACACCCCTTCCCGGCCCAAACTGCAGTGGTTATCCATGCGATTTATATAAAGCGTCCTCTGGCTATCAAACTATTAAGAAAGCACTCCGTATCAATATTCCCAAGGTAATCTGTTTATGAAACAAATAGAAATGAGAACTGCGAACTATATAAACCGATTTACAAGTTCAATATGTAAATTCAATGCAAATTAATCATCAGGCGATATAAAACCTATCAACTAGCAACAGAACGAGTGAAAAACATTCTACTAACTAATAGATTGTCATGTTTTCAAAACCACTCAGCAAAAGACAATTAATCTATAAATCCATGTCAACAGCTAGATTATTATGAGTTGTATGTTAAGTATTTACACGATTAACTATGTGACCTTTCTGCGATCTTTTATCTTAGTGCTTGATAGACACATATCATCTACGTATTTTTGGAAAGAATCGCTTTAGTTAAACATTGGTTTTCTCATTTCTAATAAAAGCGTACAAAATTATAAGGTTGTTATCTTTAGTGAGTTTTTATTATAGTTTTCGTGGTGTTTGTCACAAACTTGACTTATAATGAAGTCTTCGAATCATCTAAATTGTTTGTGAAACACACACAGAGAGATGTTAATCTTTCAGTCGGGGCATGCGGAGTAACAAGTGAATCATCAAATCACGAAATCAAGTCACAAATATCTTGGAATCGCTCTACAATATGGAATCAAGGAAAATAGTCACCAATGAGTATTCCTTGTGAATCTTCTGTTGAAAACAATTAATCAAAGACCAGATACTTTATTTGGCCTTTTTACTTTTTTGATTTGAGCGTCACTGATGAGTCTTTTGTAGACGAAACACGCATCTGGCATACACAGCTTTAAGCCTGGTATCTATGATGAGTTTATATACAGTAGATCTATATATAAATTGTTTCCAATTTTTCAAAAACTATTTAAAAAAAGAGGTATTACATATAAAAATTAGTAAGGGTTCCACGGAACCCAGTGTCTCGCCTATTTTTGCTGTTAATCGCAGGCTCAACAAAAATGAGGAAAAAAAAAAAAAAAAAATATTCCTCTCGATACTATCTTTTGATTGTAAGAAGCTTCTGTCCAAGTTTAGTATAAATCCAGGATTGTTAATGAATCTAATAAATGTTTAAAAAACTTTAACTGCAGACTGTATGTAATGTTAACTGGAAGAAAAACTAAGTCCATTTATAAGTAAAATACGGAAAAACAGGAACAAAATTTCCTTCTAGATACTAGCTTTTGATTATAAACAAGCTTTTGTCCAAGTTTGGTGCAAATCCAGGATAGTTTAAGAAAGTTATTAAAATTTTAAAAACTTTAACCACAGAGTGAATGTAATGTTTCCTGGCAGAAAAACTAAGTCCATTTATAAGTAAAATACAGAAAAAATGGAATTTTTTTTTTTACAAAATTTACTTCTGGATAGTATCTTATGATCATAAACAAGCTTCTGTCCTAATTTGGTAGAAATCCAGGATAGTTTAAGAAAGTTATTAAAATTTAAAAAACTTTAACCACAGAGTGAATGTAATGTTTCCTGGCAGAAAAACTAAGTCCATTTATAAGTAAAATACAGAAAAAATGGAATTTTTTTTTTACAAAATTTACTTCTGGATATTATCTTCTGATCATAAACAAGCCTCTGTCCAAGTTTGGTAGAAATCCAGGATAGTTTAAGAAAGTTATTAAAATTTCAAAAACTTTAACCACAGAGTGAATATTTGTGGACGCCGCCGACGACAACGACGACGACGACGCCGACGCCGACGGAATGTAGGATCGCTATGTCTCGCTTTTTCGACAAAAGTCGAAGGCTCGACAAAAATGAGTTCAATGACATCAGGTTTGTTCAATAGGCACTTCAGGTATTTATACATCATTGGCTCCAAATTTATAAATCATTATTTTAATTTTCTAGCACTGGGTCCGTACCACTGATGGGGGACTGTCAGTCCTCAGAGGCGGATCCAGCCCAGGATAAAGGGGGGGTTCCAATCATATGTCCCCATTCAAAAGCATTGATCGTCACAAAAAAGGGGGGTCCAACCCCCGGATCCGCCACGGAATCCAAGAGGGTGTCTTCAGCTCTATACTGACATGAATTATTACACTTTTCTGTAATGCTCCATTATTAATTTTACAAATTATTTAGAAACAAAGGTTCCACCTCATCAGGCAAAGTTGACTGTAGCTTATTTAGTTATTACTTTTAGGTCATTTTGGGATATATTATCATCAAGAATTCAAGTACTTCAATATCCTAGGTTTTCAAAATTTGTGGTTTTGGGTTCCTGATGAAAATAAATCCAGAAAAGTGCTATGGATGCACAAAATTTATGAAGTTTTATTTTCAATTTCTAGCACTGGGTAGATACTGCTATCGGTAGACTGCTAGTCTCTGAGGATATTTTGAGCTAACCAGGTTAGCACTTCAGTACTGACATGATTTATAGCTTACTTTTCTTAAATTCTCCATTAATAAATTTAGAAACTAGTATTCCAATTTCGTAAGGTAAAGTTGATTCAAGCTGAATTTGGCTATTAGGTACCTTTCGGTTGTATAGATTCTAAATTATTCAAGTGCTCATACATCAATGGTTTTCAAGTATTCAAGTGCTCATACATCAATGGTTTTCAATACTTTTGTGTTTGAGCATTCCTGATGAAGTTAAATCTAGAAAAGCACCCATCCCCTTTATCCCGATTGTGACCCATCGAATTAAGATTTATCACCGGGTTTGTACTAACATGAGCAACACAATGGGTGCCACATGTGGAGCAGGATCTGCTTACCTTTCCGGAGCACCTGAGATCACCCCGTTTTTGGTGGGGTTCGTGTTGCTCAGTCTTTGGTTTTCTATGTTGTGTTTTGTTTATTGCTGTTTGTCTTTTTCTTTTTAGCCATGGCGTTGTCAGTTTATTTTCGACTTATGAGTTTGAATGTCCCTTTGGTATCCTTCGCCTCTCTTGGACACACCAAATTTATAAAAGTGTTTATTTTCTATTTTCAGAGCATATGGCATCCATAAACAAAATCAGGATTGTCTATGTCTTCTGTTTTTATTATTACATATAAAGCATTTTATATTTGCAGCAACATCTCAGATTTTAATACGTATTTTCATTACTAAACAAATCTACATCATAAATTGGACAATAACTTTTTATACTAAATTATTTCACAAATATAGAAAGTTCTTGTGAAAGCATGCATATGAACCATCTGCAAGAAAATAAATAAAAGTGATGTGTTACACCAAGCTTTTTACAGTAATACTATTAAAGCTTTACAGGTTGTCTCTCAAATCAGTCTTTTTGTCCAACTAGACTTATTGATCCAGTAGTTTGTTCTGGCCGTTGCACAAAATGATGTTTTCATTTTGCTATTTGATAAGGGACTTTCCGTTTTGAATTTTCCTTGGAGTTCGGTATTGTTATTTTTTCCAGGACAGCTTGCTGTATGAAATCTTCTTTGAAGTACAGCATAATATATTAGAGCGTAGCTGACATAATTTCCTATAAGCAAGTTGCTGTCAGCAACAGCTAGCATTCTTTGATATAGTATAATATTGTTTAGTTTGTAATTGTGCTTTTGTTATTTATAATGTTGTTATTCTAAAGATTAGAGTTTTTACTGTATTGATATTTATTGATGTGGAGAAGGATCTGCTTACCCTTCCGGAGCACCCGAGATCACCCACAGTTTTTGGTGGGGTTCGTGTTGCTCAGTCTTTAGCTTTCTTTGTTGTGTTGTGTGTACTGTTGTCTGTTGGTGTTTTCTTTTTCAGCCATGGCGTTGTCAGTTAATTTTTGATTTATGAGTTTTAATGTTGCTTTGGTATCTTTTGCCTCTATCTTATTGAATGTTCTTTCATGCATTACCTGTGTCTTATCTTATGCAATAGTCTTTAACATGTGAGACAATGACAATTGTTTTATTTGAATACATCAGTTCATTCAAAGAAATACCTCAACAGATAAAATTACTGTTAACTAGTTTCATAGACATAATTATAAAATTTAAAACAAGTTCAAACCTTCAATAAAATAATTTACAAATTCAGAAGATTTCTGTTATTCAATCTCAATGCCATATTTTGTATTGACAGTTTTCAATGAACATTGAAAATTATATATCATTATAGCATTTCTATTTTCTACTTTACATTTCTACAGGCATTTGAATAACTATAGTCTGTTAATTACAACTTACAAAAATATTATTATATTTTTGACAAAGTTTTACCTCTGTCATACAGTACTGGTAATTTCTGACATTCATGCAATGCTTCAGAGAGTAAAAAATCCCAATAATTAAATCCTGCATGTTTATTTTTGACAGTAACATTCTACTAAATGTACAATATGAAGATGAACTGTATTAATTAAATTTTGCATCATTGTCCTTTATTGAAAATTCTCAGTAATTAATAAACCCTTTAAACACATAAAATTTTGAATAAACAGTAACTATAATGATCATATCAATTTTGTTTCAAATAAATTTTCATTTTTTGCTTTATTTAAATCCTCGGTATATACCTTAAAATAGTACGAAGTGAAAAAAATGTAATATATTATTTTAACACATTACAAAAATGAAATCTAATTCATGCACATAAATATTTTTTTAAATCCTTAGCAAAATTAAAATACTTTTCTAAAAGAATGAGTCCATAAACTGTACACAATGGTTGACAGAGCTAAAATAAACATTAAATGGAACAGAACTTAGTGTAAAAAAATATAGATTTTCAATCATTTATTGAAACTGCAATATCATGGTAGAGATTTTTTATTTTGTAATTGAAAACTTTGCACAAATATGATTCAGAAAAATAATTAGAACAAAAAGAAAAAAGAAATTAGAAAACCCACTGTGGTATAGGTAAAAGACTACAATTTCTAGTACATAATCTATCCTTTTTTTCTGAGACATAAGAATGTTTTCTAGTTAATAATTTACATTGGTGGTTGCTCAAAATTAAAGAGGGATTTTGAAAGATATCTCAACAGGAAACAGTTGTAAACTTCCACTAAGCAGCTATCCATAAAATATTGCTAATGAAACAAATGCATAAATGTTTGTTCATAAAAGTTTTGAACCTCAAAGGTCCTTTGTAAGGGATTAATACACTGTTTTTCTTGTAATCAAAACATTGCACAAATTCTATGTAGAAAAATCCAAAGAACAAAATTAACTGTGGTATGGTTTAAGACTACAATTACTTATATATTATCTTTCATTTAGTTGTTTTGTTCAAATGAATGAAATATTTATATATCCACTGTGAAATAAATCTGGCATCTTGTTCATTTCTGTTTAATGCAAATAAATATATGTGAGTTCACTATCATATCTGCCAACCAGGTTTTACATTGGATACTGACTGACTTCTTTTAAAATTCCTGAAAAATAGAGAGAAAAAAATAATTTTATCATATTGTAAATTAAAAAATTCAACAAATTGCATACAAATTGTACAGGTATGTGCAGTTTAACCCCCACTTGGGGTTGATTGGAGATCTTTCATAGTTTCTGTTAAATTTATTCTCAGAATAAGAGCTTGACATATTGTATAGAATTTGAATATTGTAAGAGATATTGTCAGTATTTTTAAGATGTGTATTTTTTAAATGAGGTAACCTTTTAAAAAATAGACTGTGCAGTAAAGGATCAGTGAGACAGCAACCCAAAATACAAAGAACCAATATAAATCTAGAGGTCAATAAACACTCTTCAACAATAAATTGGTATGATGGTATCTATACATTATGTCAAGTTCTTAATCTGAGAACTTAAATTTAACAGAAACTAAGAAAGATCTCAAAGTAATCCCAAATCCTCCAAATAACCAAAGACATTAAGATGTGACAACTACTCCACCCCTCTTCAAAATCCCAATCTTTTTTTTGAGAAATAATAAACCACTGTTCATCATATAAAAATAAGAAGATGTGGTATGATTGCCAATGAGACAACTCTCGACAAGAGACCAAATGACACAGAAATTAACAACTATAGGTCACCGTACAGCCTTCAACAATGAGCAAAGCTCATTCTGCATAGTCACAATGTCCTCCATACTATTATAACATAAAATCTTTTTTTTCAAAGTTAAATGTTGATGGCCTTTGATAATGAGTCAAATTTAGATAAAATATGCATCAACTAAATTATAATTCAATATATTTTTTTTTCTTTTTCCTACCTGTTTTTAATGCACTGGTTGCCTGTTGGTACTCTTGAGGGTTCAAGATTTTCATTATTTATATGTCTAGAAAAGAATATAAATGTATTAGTTAGCACTCATAAAAAACTCTTAGGCATGTTCAGAAACACAAATAATTGCAATACTCTGTTAAAATGGATTTTTTTAATTTTCAGGTGGAGTTTGATTATTTAACCTGGACAGTTTCATTAATTCTTATAATGCATTTTATTGAACATTGTTACCATGGTTACTATTTGCTCAAATCTGATTAGAGAATGACAGCATTCTAAATACATCACAAGAATTTTTAACATCACACTAGATCTGTAAAACATGTGAATATTTAACGTCTAACTCTAGAAGACTTGATAAGCCTACATATGTTGAACAATTCTCTTCCAATATTTAATAATACAAGCATGTTATATATTGATGAATAGAATTCAATTGGCATATCATTTAAATCATCAAAGAAAATTTTATTGATTTCACAGGAATCAAAATGTGAAATGTCATAAATCATCTTTGAAGCAGTTATTGCTTCCGGTGCTTAAAGATATTCTTAAAACTATGTCTTAGCATAACAATGAAATTTTATTTGAATCCCATAACATAATTACTTCTGTATTTCATGTATTTCTAATGTTCATTGTACATTCTTTTATGTACTGAAAATATTCATGTGACAACTACTTGTTCTCATGAAATAACAGCTCTGCATGTGAAAGTATTAACATAACGAAAAAGAACATTGCTTTGACATTTAACAGTTTTCAATATGTTATTTAAATTCTGATTGTTATCACTGTTTTCCTTTAATGATGTCAAATATTTAATTGAATGGTAATTTTTGAACTCCTACATTTATAGAAAAGAAAGACTGTGATGTATCAATTCATAACAACAAATCATTACAGACAAGTGAAAAAGAAAACAAGACAAGGAACAGCTCTTTTATTGCTTTTCTATTGGTAAAGAATTTTTGAGGACAAATAAATAACTCAAACAGCGATGCAAGTTTTCATAAATCTCCTATGTTTTTAGACTAAAACAAAATATATGTACGAGAAATCTGTGACACTTGGTTAATTGTTTCTGTCAAGGCAGTATAAGGGACCTGAATTCTGATTCTCCAAAATCTACTAAATAAACTGAATTATTTTTCTCAAATACTCTCTTGGATTACATACATGCAGGTATTGGTTCTTATCCCCTCTGCCAAAAAAATAGAGGCCCCAAGGAGGTTGTATTGATCACCTGATATCCATTATGCTTAATGTAATGTCAAGAATGGTCAAATTTAATCCCATAATGCATACTTAGTCTGCTTGACTAAGTTAATACCATAGTCAAGTGTTGATCAATGTTATGCTATGAATACTTACTTTATTTTAGTTCTATATCTTGCAGCTTTTGTTGGTTGCATGTAGCTTGGCTGTTGTGTTTGTTGATTTCTTGGTTTTCCTGAAATAGAAATGTTGTCATCACAATAGTTGTTATAACCATGAATAAAAATTATGTAAGTGATAAAAAAAGATAAAAGACTATTAACTGACAACAAGCTAAAGGTAGGAAACACATTCAAAGCTACATAAGTTATACACTATTGATTGATTGATTGACAATGACTGTTAACCATCAACAAGCAAATTTCACATGCTTAGCCAGGATGAAAATGTCATACCCAGCTTCCTACCAGACTGACCAGTGCATCAGGTTTTTTTTTTAGTTAAACTAACTCATAAAGTAACAGTCCACAGGGAGACATATCACCAACCTTGAAACATTAATCTGACTCAAGCTCACTTACATCAATAAAATAGGGTACAGAAGACATATCACCAACCTTGAAACATTAATCTGACTCAAGCTGACTTAAATCAATAAAATAGGGTACAGAAGACATATCACCAACCTTGAAACATTAATCTGACTCAAGCTGACTTAAATCAATAAAATAGGGTACAGAAGACATATCACCAACCTTGAAATATTAATCTGACTCAAGCTGACTTAAATCAATAAAATAGGGTACAGAAGACATATCACCAACCTTGAAACATTAATCTGACTCAAGCTCACTTATATCAATAAAATAGGATACAGAAGACATATCACCAACCTTGAAACATTAATCTGACTGAAGCTGACTTAAATCAATAAAATAGGGTACAGAAGACATATCACCAACCTTGAAACATTAATCTGACTGAAGCTGACTTAAATCAATAAAATAGGGTACAGAAGACATATCACCAACCTTGAAACATTAATCTGACTCAAGCTGACTTAAATCAATAAAATAGGGTACAGAAGACATATCACCAACCTTGAAATATTAATCTGACTCAAGCTGACTTAAATCAATAAAATAGGGTCGGAAGACATATCACCAACCTTGAAACATTAATCTGACTCAAGCTCACTTATATCAATAAAATAGGATACAGAAGACATATCACCAACCTTGAAACATTAATCTGACTCAAGCTGACTTAAATCAATAAAATAGGGTACAGAAGACATATCACCAACCTTGAAACATTAATCTGACTGAAGCTGACTTAAATCAATAAAATAGGGTACAGAAGACATATCACCAACCTTGAAACATTAATCTGACTCAAGCTCACTTAAATCAATAAAATAGGATACATGTATAATCATTCTGTTTGATGCAAATTGGATAAAAACACCAAAAGGTAAACAAAAGCCTGTCTGACAAACATGTAAATATTACCTTCCTATAATTGATTTAACTTGACCTATTACCAGAATTTATAGTATCTCACAAACACTTAACATTGATCACCGAATCATGAAATAAAATCAAGATGAGGTGATCCTGTCTGACTGATTAATTTTAATGATTTTATATACCAAATAAGATTGTCTTATTACTCATAGTAACTTAAAAAAATCATATGATGAAAACACATTACAGTTTTTTTAAGCAGTCATTGAACCATGAAAATGAGGTCAAGAACGACATTAATTTTGCCAGATGAGAAATCTTCAGACTCTGAGGCATCTTTATATCAGATATGTATTATTCAGCTCTTCTACCTTCTGAGGTAGGAACTTTTATACAAAAAACTATAGAAATGATGCCTTTGCTGCTGGATTACCATCCTGAAGTCTAGCATTCTGAGACAATCAATGACAATTGTCTGAAAATTCAGTTAGGGCTTAAGGAGGAGACATAATACATAAACAAATGGACTCAGACCATTATTCTGTCCCTTTGCTATAGCGCTTTATCAAATGATGGGAAGGTTAGAAAAAAATGATTCCCATAAACTTTAAATGCCCCATCAGTAATTGTATGTTTATACTTACTGGGATCAGTATGCCATCTTTCCATCAGAGAAGGTAATCCAAGCTCGTTCAGTTTCTTACATGTTTTCTTGATCTCTTCACTGTTATCCTCAAACAAATTCTCTTTCTTCATCATCATTTTACTGCCTAGACTTTGCCTGTAAATTTATGTAAATACAATGTATACCCAAATCTCTTTTTACTCATATTGTAAACAAGATGACACAGAACTTTTTCTTTTTGTTATTGCACGTATCAATCTTAAAATTCAGTACATGTATTGTCAAAATAAATAATAATCAAAACTTAAAGGAACCTAATGTGTGATAAAACTAAACTTGGAACTCCCTCCAACAAAGTTGCCCTATGATGGTTTTTTTCTGCTCTGTTTAGGCCCTTTAGGTTTTTTCATGTTTTGGTCAAGATTGATTAATGTAGTAACCTTTTGTTTTCAATGAGAAAAGTATCAATTTTATATGATCTTTTCTACTGTAGATTCATTACTATTCATGGTACACCAATTTTCGTGGATTTTGTTGGTACAAGTGAACCACAATTTTAAATGTTCAACAAAGTATACATTCTTTAGGCTTGTTTGTAGACTTTTGTAAAACCAAACTAGAGGCTCTAAAGAGCCTGTGTCGCTCACCTTGGTCTATGTGCATATTAAACAAAGGACACAGATGGATTCATGACAAAATTGTGTTTTGGTGATGGTGATGTGTTTGTAGATCTTACTTTACTGAACATTCTTGCTCCTTACTATTATCTCTATCTATAATGAACTTGGCCCGGTAGTTACAGTGGGAAATACTTTGTAAAAATTTACAAAAATTTACAAAATTTATGAAAATTGTAAAAAATTTATGAAAATTGTAAAAAAATGACTATAAAGGGCAATAACTCCTTAAGGGGTCAATTGACAATTTTGGTCATGTTGCCTTATTTGTAGATCTAACTTTGCTGTACATTATTGCTGTTAACAGTTTATCTCTATCTATACAAATATTCAAGATAATAACCAAAAGCTGCAAAATTTTCTTAAAATTACCAATTCAGGGGCAGCATCCCAACAACGGGTTGCCTGATTGGTCTGAAACTTTCAGGGCAGATAGATCTTGACCTAATGAACAATTTTATCCCCATCAGATTTGCTCTAAATGCTTTGGTTTCAGAGATATGAGCCAAAAATTGCATTTTACCCTATGTACTATTTTTTAGCCATGTCGGCCATCTTGGTTCGCGGGCTGGGTCATCGGACACATTTTTTAAACTAGATACCCTAATGATGATTGTGGACAAGTTTGGTTAAATTTGTCTTAGTAGTTTCAGAGGAGAAGATTTTTGTAAAAAATTACAAAAAATTACGAAAAATGGTTAAAAATTGACTATAAAGGGCAATAACTCCTTAAGGGGTCAACTGACCATTTTGGTCAAGTTTGACTTATTTGTAGATCTTACTTTGCTGAACATTATTGCTGTTTACAGTTTATCTCTATCTATAATAATGTTCAAGATAATAACCAAAAACTGCAAAATTTCCTTAAAATTACCAATTCAGGGGCAGCAACCCAACAACGGGTTGCCTGATTGGTCTGAAAATTTCAGGGCAGATAGATCTTGACCTAATGAACAATTTTATCCCCATCAGATTTGCTCTTAATGCTTTGGTTTCAGAGATATGAGCCAAAAACTGCATTTTACCCTATGTACTATTTTTTAGCCATGTCTGCCATCTTGGTTTGCGGGCGGGGTCATCGGACACATTTTTTAAACTAGATACCCTAATGATGATTGTGGACAAGTTTGGTTAAATTTGTCTTAGTAGTTTCAGAGGAGAAGATTTTTGTAAAAGATTACAAAAATTTACGAAAAATGGTTAAAAATTGACTATAAAGGGCAATAACTCCTTAAGGGGTCAAATGACCATTTTGGTCAAGTTGACTTATTTGTAGATCTTACTTTGCTGAACATTATTGCTGTTTACAGTTTATCTCTATCTATAATAATGTTCAAGATAATAACCAAAAACTGCAAAATTTCCTTAAAATTACCAATTCAGGGGCAGCAACCCAACAATGGGTTGTCCGATTCATCTGAAAATTTCAGGGCAGATAGATCTTGACCTGATAAACAATTTTACCCAGTCAGATTTGCTCTAAATGCTTTGGTTTCAGAGATATAAGCCAAAATCTACATTTTTCCCCTATGTTCTATTTTTAGCCATGGTGGCCATCTTGGTTGGTTGGCCGGGTCACCGGACACATTTTTTAAACTAGATACCCCAATGATGATTGTGGCCAAGTTTGGTTAAATTTGGCCCAGTAGTTTCAGAGGAGAAGATTTTTGTAAAAGTTTACGGACGACGGACGACGGACGACGGACGCCAAGTGATGAGAAAAGCTCACTTGACCTTTCAGGTCAGGTGAGCTAAAAAACAAATATTCAAGAAAATAAAATTTTTGCTTAATTGTCGTAAAATTTGTCACACATTCTACCACTTTTGTCGCAGGCGTGACAAAAATTGGATTGCAAAAATGTCCGTCTGGCTCAAATTGTTTTTGGAGGCCCTGGATGAAATAATTTTTGTCATTTTGACATTCTCTTTAAGCTAATGCTTTTATGAAGCAAGCTGCATCATGTATATTTGTCTATAAAATAATCAATATGATAGCTTTTCTTTTCAAAATATGTGAATGTTTTCCAATCCAGTGTAAGTACTGACCTCTGATTCTGTTCACTAAGTGGTGTGTTGTTATTCATTTCTCTCAGTGGAGTCCTTACTACTTGTGGTGACTGAAGAACTTCTGCATAGCTACGTGCTATAATGATAAAGAAAAAATATAATAGAACAGAAAGAAGTAGCAAGAAAAAGTTTCTTCCTACCATCGAATCATATATATTATTGATGGGTTATTAAAACCAGAAGATTGTCAATAAGCCCTGAGTGACATGATCAAAATATATACCCTTGAAAGGTTAACTGAAATTTTGTACAGTATAAAATGTATATCAACGAATCTAAAGCTGATCTGTCAAAGAAATACAATTATTTTTAACAATTTTCATATTCCATCATATTCTTCATGTCTTTGTTTTTATGAGATTTTCTTTGTTTTGCTCTCTTTTGAAAGGGAATAAAAAAGGTATTGACATAACAGAACACTGCAGTGAACAAGCTTAAATCAGATAAAAGCAGGTATTGACAAGACAGACCACTGCAGTGAACAAGCTTAAATCTGATAAAAGCAGGTATTGACAAGACAGACCACTGCAGTGAACAAGCTTAAATCAGATAAAAGCAGGTATTGACAAGACAGACCACTGCAGTGAACAAGCTTAAATCAGATAAAAGCAGGTATTGACAAGACAGACCACTGCAGTGAACAAGCTTAAATCTGATAAAAGCAGGTATTGACAAGACAGACCACTGCAGTGAACAAGCTTAAATCTGATAAATGCAGGTATTGACAAGACAGACCACTGCAGTGTACAAGCTTAAATCTGATAAAAGCAGGTATTGACAAGACAGACCACTGCAGTGAACAAGCTTAAATCTGATAAAAGCAGGTATCTCATTCAGAAGAAATCATTTCTAATTTAAAATAATTGAATTATTAACATAAGATTATCTTTCAATGTTCAAAGATACTGTGGATTCATTATTTTTCGTTGGATACCAATTTTCGTGGATTTCGTGGGAACAGGGGAACCACAAATTTAAAAGTTCAACGTATTACAAATTTTCCATAGGCTTGTATGCAGAATTCAGCAAAACCATGAAATTAAATATCCAAAAAAGTGTAAGTTTTCCTCCATCCACGAAAATTGATACCCACGAAAATAAATGAATCCACAGTAATATAAACAACATAAATGAAATATGACCAGAATATAAACTATAAGTTATCCTTCATTTGGTTCAACATGTTCAATACATGTACAAATGTGTTCATCAATCATTGTCGATCTTGTATTAATTTGATTATTTCAATTATTGAGAACATTATTATGATTATTTATAAAGATAGATATGATTAATCATCTGAGATACATGTAGCACCACTAATGCAGTTACGTAAATGTTTTGTAATCAGAAACAGCAACAACATGAACAACAAAAATTGATCTGAAATATAGGTTCATAACTGCACATAGGTTAAACATGTCAAAGTAATACTGAGAAATTTTCACAGACAACCAGGCAGACATATAAAGAGACTAAGGTCATAGATACATTACCGGTAGTAAAGTTTACCAATTAATTTTTGTCTCAGAAGATCTCTAATCATAAATATATAACTCTGATTTTATGAAAATCAATGAACCATAAACTAGATATGGACGATGCCCCCCCCCCCCCCCCCCCCCCCCCCCCTTTCTGCCATATGCATGAATATAGTTCCACATATTTTAGATTTGACAAACGGTGATGTTGGCATACAACTTGAAATTGTAAGACACAAATGATGCCCCCGCCTGACCAAAGGAAATTATAAATTTAACACTATGTATGATGATATTACTGTAGGAGGAGATAGCCGGACAAACCATGATCTCTTTATGCAGCTAGTACCAAAAAAATGACTAAGTCCAACTACCTGTCAATACCTGTCATTTTCAGAATATTTGAAAAAAAAAATCAAAATCCTGTGGCCATGCACACCTCCATTATGTGTTTGAACATCCTACAAAATATTAAAGCTGTATCTCCAAAACTGTAGGAGGAGATAGCAGGACAAACTATGATCTCTTTATGCAGCTAGTACCAAAAAAATGACTAAGTCCAACTAACTGTCATTTTCAGAATATTTGAAAAAAATCAAAATCCTGTTGCCATGCACACCTTCATTATGTGTATGAACATCCTACAAAATATTAAAGTTGTACCTCCAGAACTGTAGGAGGAGATAGCCAGACAAACAATGTATCCTAATCCGGAGGGACGGACGGACAGACAGTGGTAAATTAATATGCCCCCCGAAATTTTGTCATAAAAAGAGGTCAATGACAACTGGAATAATGATAGATGGAAACTTTGTTGATATGGTATCAACATGTATAAAAACAAGTTATAAGTGGAGCTTGAACTTCTGACCCATTCAGACCATATTTTTTTACCGTAGGGTATGTAAGAAGAGGTGTTTCCTGACAGAAATAATTTGTTTAAATTTGTTGTCACAAAACATTTTTGGAAAGAAAATATAAACTTAAACACTAAAATTTATTCATTATCCCCCTGAAATTGTGCACTCTGCTAGTAAATCATATAAAGTTTTAAATTACTTACCTTTCCGAACAGAATCTGGTGTACATGGTAAACCACCAAATGTTATTGATCTTACAGCATGACTTTTACTATCACTTGACATGCTTGAGGATCCATCATCTTGCAAATCTGATGGTTCATGACCTGCTGATTCTAATGTATCTGTGTTAATACTATTTGACTGACTTGTTCTAGATAAAAAGACAGGTGCAACAGGTGTTTTTCTCATTGCATTGGTTAAGCTAGAATGATGACTAGGCGACCTATTTTGTAGACTACATCTCTCTTGTGAGACTTGAATGTTTGATATTGGTAAACTAACATTTGCATTGTTATTAGATTGCACCACACATGTACTTCCTGTTATATTGTTCTGTGACTGGAGAGCAGAACTGTCACACACTGGTTGATACTGAGATTGCAGTTCAATCATTCCATTACTCTGAGATTGTATAGCAGTCACACTGGAATTTGAATGTGAAATGTTTACACTATTAGGAGACAGCATTGTAGACTTCTGACAGCATTGATTGCTTACAGAGACAGTGGAATCACAGACACTCAAAGCGGCAACATGTGGCATCATATTAATAGCACTATCAGTATTCTGACACAGACTACTTTGTACATTAGTACTAGTATTATTTACAAACTGTTTTGTATCAACAATTGGCACACTAGAGTTATTTTGGTCATAATTAAATGACCTTGAAAATTTGTCAGCAATAACTGGTGTCCTTGCTATAATTTCTGGATCCTTGTCACTGGTATCCATCAATGTGAAAGTAGAGTTTTGTTCATCTGATTTATTTTCCTCCAAAGTAAAAGTTGAATCAAGAGACTGACTGGTATGACAGACATCACTGTTTTTTACCAAATTTAATGATTTATTTTCTAATCTTAAAGCATTTTGAAGCATATGATTGCTTAATTTCAAATTTTGTTTATCTACACTAGATTCTACTGTTAAAATAGAACATGTTGTAGAAGAAGCAGTTATTTCTGCACTTTTTATACAAGAAACCAGTCTCTCTGGCACAACTGGAGCAATGTTTGCATCATTTGTCTGGTTACATATCACAGTTGTCTCCCTTGAAGGATGAGATTTATTTGGAAATGGTGTATGACCAGCTGTTGATGTTGACTTGTAGCTGTAGGAATTTCCTTCACTTTCTGTTTCCGTCGAATGTTTTAATGAACTTACATGTCCAGTCTCTTTATTGCACAATAATGATTCAGATGCTGTACTTTTTTCTAATCCCATAATATACTCTGGAAGAAAACATGTGTAACATTAAAACTACCTTTCTTTACAAAATATATGTAATCACAAAATTAACCACAATCCTTACAGCCTTTGTTAGTATGATCTTCCCAAGCTAATAAATATTACAATATATTTTCAAAAATTATGTCCAAAGATGTTTTAGATTAGTGGAGTATGGTGTTTTTCACATATCAATATTTAATAATTTTGTTTGTTTTCTTTCAATTTTGGTTGAAGCATAAAGCAAAATATTTTCCCCATTATCATTTTCAATATACACATGATATATTAAACCTACTGGTAATAATTATTTCTTGCATACTTCAGAGAAGCTTTCTGTTGCTGTCATTAAGTTCATACAGATGTGTGCCGCAGTAATGGGTCACCTTTTTTTAAGTGTATAATGTTGTAGGCACTTATGATCCATTGACCAGTCTTGTGCAGGACTTAAATAATTATTGCCAATGTCGCCAAAAAATCAAATATTACATTTGATAAATTTGTGCAGTCAAATAAAACTTTATCTTATCTATACTACTAAATTAACGAGGTCCAATTTTTTAGCCGTCATGACGTAAAAACGACGAATCAAAGAATTCAACTTTATATATAACTAATATAGGACAATGGTGTTGATTAAAAATTACACCATTCCAGGCCCTTTTGTTTTCCACATAATTAATATTACCATGATTAACAAGTTCAAGGTCGAATCTGATACAGATACCAGTAGTATATGTATGTATGTATGTTTCTGTATCGGCCTCCTTTATAAGGAGCACCACCATGGGTTATGGTGTAAAGGAGGGCATTTTACACACTGTATCGATACAGATTTAATGTGAGCATTTTCCTACCTAGTTTCCCAGCCTGGCAGTGACGGATCTTATTACCAGTCACATGTGGTTTAAGGTTGTAGTAAAAAAAACAAGGACGGGTTTAAACAGAAAGATTTTGAAAGCAGAGATAACTGTGCATCTTAAAACCAGCATGACTTTATCAGATGACAATACGAATACAAATCAGGCTAAAAGTAAGGCGTAGGTACTTTAATTCAGTCACGGACCCGAGATGTCACAGGTGTGTTCAAGTTAGCTTGAAATAAATGAATTTGTTTTAAAAGAGGCTCAAGTTGTACTTCTATTATCTTTTATCTTATAAGTACATATCAAGTTTCTAAAATCATATGAAAAGTCTTAGAGAAAAATATTTGTAAATTTCATGTCTTTTCAATTGTCATAAATTCACAAAACATCTATCAGATTTTGAATAAAATGAAACAATCTACAACATTTTTTTTATATTTTAAAAATATTTTCTGTTTTGCTGAATAAAATGACAATGTCATATCATGTTTTCATCAAACATTTAGGTTATCAGTTACATGTAGAACTGTTTTTCATAATTTTCTGAAGGATTTCTGAGAGTTCTACAAAGGACCAAAAATGACAATTTATAAAGTTTATTGATGGAAAAAGAAAATGTGGTACATGAAACAGCAGTCTCAAGAATATTGTCAATCAAACATTTTTATCATATAAAATCCGTTTTAATACATGTGTATTATTTTTTTACCTGAAGGCAAACTTTTGAAGTCTAGGAGACCAGATAGACAAAATGGCTGGTTTCCAGCTGTGAATGTTTGATCAGCAAATGACACTTCCCTCCCTTCAGCCATGCTCTGGATCTGTTGATATTCACCTTCCAGGTCAGAGGTCAACATACCAGATCCTTTGATGATCAAATTTTGCTGTCTAACCAGATGTAACAGGCTGTTAATCATTCTATATAAGAAAAGTCAAATATAACTACATTGCATTAGAAAATATTATCTGATCAAACATTTTCCTATCTGATCAAACATTGTCCATTTTTACTTTACAATGCTGACTTTGATCAAACAACATTTATCTTAAATTTACCACAATTTTGATCTCAAGTATTGTGTCATAATCATAATCTAAGATCTTATTTGAAAATCATAGATGGAGCAGGACAACTTACAGTATTTACAAATTTCTTTAAAAAATACTTAGACACCATGAACATATGAAAATTAAACTTCCTCCTGCACTGTTATAATAATTTTTTTTTCTGGAGATGCAAATACAAAGTGTGATACCAGTCTATTGACCAATGACAGTGATAAGAACACTTCACTCATTCACCCAGCATATGTATTTCAGGTAGAAATATTTTAATGGTTTTTTTATTTCATTTTCCAAAATTAAAGTACCATTGTCAATTCCTAAAGAATTTCTACTCTAAGTGATTTTAAAATCATTTCAATATTAAAAAGTGTTTAAACAAATCATTCTTTAACATTTATAAAAAAGTAAAAACTCCATGTAGTTAATGCTGGTTAACAGTTGATACAAAATAAAAAAAATAAGGAGATTTCATATGACATTTGTTTATGCCATGACTGGTAATAATTTGACAGTTTGAAAAAAATGAACCCAACTGTGAAGTCCATGAAATGAATGAAACTGTGCAAAAAAGTTTCTGGATCCTTGAATTACAAATAACTTTTTAATTTCCAATAAATTATAAACACAACTTTTGCATTATAATTTTTTTGGATGATTTTTACTTATTTTATTTTAATGCTTGTTTATTATTCATAGTCTCATTTATTACCATTATTTAACTTTTTTAAGAGAAAGAAAACAAGATTTTCCATGGAAATTCTGCAAACAACCAAATACGACATTAAATTTTCTGAACTTTCACCAAGTTACATAATAATTTTTTTCCTAATTTCTTGTGGCAAAAAGTGTGTGCAGATTATACATAAATAAGGGTTATACACAACTTTTCACACCACCTTTTTGCGGACCAAATTTATCTCTCCTGTCACCATCGAGAAAAAACATTTCCAGTTATTATTATATGACATTAAATTTTCTGTTTTCTCATTGGCTAAAAGCATAAGAAATCCTCTTTGATAAAACATTACATTTACCACGGCAAAAATTACGAGAGGTTTATTACCATTACTTAACTTTTTTAAGAGAAAGAAAACAAGATTTTCCATGGAAATTCTGCAAACAACCAAATACGACATTAAATTTACTGAACTTTCACCAAGTTACATAATAATTTTTTTCCTAATTTCTTGTGGCAAAAAGTGTGTGCAGATTATACATAAATAAGGGTTATACACAACTTTTCACACCACCTTTTTGCGGACCAAATTTATCTCTCCTGTCACCATCGAGAAAAAACATTTCCAGTTATTATTATATGACTTTAAATTTTCTGTTTTCTCATTGGCTAAAAGCATAAGAAATCCTCTTTGATAAAACATTATATTTACCACGGCAAAAATCACGAGAGGTTAATATACGATTTGGAACAGTGTCCGTGTACCTAAATATAGATATTCCAAGTCAATGACGTAGGTTTATTGTCATGTAAATTACCGTTTTTTTCTTTTTCTTCTTGTTTTTGGTGTTTTTTTTTTAGTAAACTTTATTGAATATTTCAACTTATGAAAATTAGAAACTGCAAAAAGCAGATGATATATTTAGTATAAAAACAGGGAGCAGTTTTAAAAGTATCTTGAGCAAATACTAGAAAATTGGAGAAGGATAGAGAGTTATATAATAAAACAATTGCTGACTTTTGATTTCAGTTGATAAATCATTGTATCAACCTCAACAAAAGTCAATAATTGTATAGTATTACCTATCAGTTAAGTATTGATTACTCCTGTAATTTAATAGTATTTCAATTACATTAACACTAAATAATCATTACAATATGGAAATTTTAGATATCTTAGGTGTGAGGTACCTTTCTGTTGACTGTATTTCTCTCTCCTGTGATTTGACCACTTTAGTCAGATACTTTACACAATACTGATTTTCTGTTAATGCCATACTGGTCTGATGTAGTTGTAAAGTTAACTTCAAATTCTGTCAAAGGAAATAAAAGAATTACACATAACTGTATATTGTTCAGAAACATCTTTGCTCTAAATGTTGTGCAATAATTTAATGGTGGAGATAAATCTTTCATCAACTTTTTTACGCAATGATATTGAATTCGTAAAAACGTAAAGCACATCTGCATAGCTTTCTGCTTTACCTAAAGCAGTGGAGAAGTTCTTCAAGTTGATACAATTTTAATGACTTCAGAAATAACAAAATGTTCACTTCTATTTAGTCTGAAATTTGCATGTTTCATGTAAAAACTCATTCATTTTTCAATACTTTTCCGAAAAAAAAAACAACTTTCGAACAGAAAGAGATATTTTCACCCGTTTTTTACAAAGTGTTCCATAATTGTCTGGTCTTTATGGCAGTCCCTGCAATTAAGGTTAAATGCGTTAAAATTATGTGAAATCATGCAATTATCGAAAAATATGAAAAGCTGTAGACAATTTTCTTGCTAATACAAATGCATATAGAAAATTATTTATCGTTAATTTTTTCTTACAATTTTGATCTAACATTCTTCAAGGTATAAAGTGGGTTGCAAAAGAAACTAGATGTGTCGGAACGACGTGAATGGCCCTCTCTCAAAAAGTTGAATAATCTGCAATTTCAACAACACATGTGGACACAAACATGCATGGATAGGATCCAGCTCTAATCCAATACTAGTTTGATGAAAAATTTCCTTGATCAATGAGCAGTTTAATTTCAAACTATTAGCAAACAGGAAGCGGATGTACTGCAGATCTAACAAGATGTGTTGAAACGACATGAAAATCATCATAGCGGAACGAAACATAAACTTGATCTGTAACTCATCATGGTAGACTCACATATCAAAAATCAGCGCAAAATCTGAAGGCGTATAGAAAAAAGTGCATAACTGTGATTTTCAACAATTTTCAAAGTCCAAAACCTGTAATTTCAGCAAAAATCAGCATAGCGGAACGAAACTTAAAGTCCATCTGTAACACATCATGGTTAACTCACATAACAAAAATCAGTCCAATATCTGAAGGCGTTTAGAAAAAAAGTCTGGATAATTTTCAACAATTTATCAAAGATCAAAGTCCCTAATTTTGGCAAAAATTTGCAGAGCAGAACGAAACTTAAACTTGATCTGTAACTCATCATGGTTAACTCACATACCAAAAATCTGCGCAATATCTGAAGGCGTTTAGAAAAAAAGTCCGTATAACTGTGATTTTCAACAATTTATCAAAGTCCAAAGCCCGTAATATGGCAAAAATTAGCAGAGCAAAATGAAACTTAAATTTGATCTATAACTCATCATAGTTAACTCACATACCAAAAATCAGCCCAATATCTGAAGGCGTTTAGAAAAAAAGTCTGGATAACTGTGATTTTAAACAATTTATCAAAGATCAAAGTCCCTAATTTCGGCAAAAATTAGCAGAGCGGCACGAAACTTAAACTTGATCTGTAACTCATCATGGCTAACTCACATACCAAAAATCAGCCCAATATCTGAAGGCATTTAGAAAAAAAGTCCGTATAACTGTGATTTTTAACAATTTATCAAAGTCCAAAGCCCGTAATTTCGGTAAAAATTAGCAGAGCGGAACAAAACTTACACTTGATCTGTAACTCATCATGATTAACTCACATAACAAAAATCAACCCAATATCTGAAGGCATTTTGAAAATAATTGCGTATAATGGTTTGTTGCGGAATGACGGAATGACAGAATAACGGAATGAAGGACAAGGGTAAAACTATATGGCCCTGACAACTTTGTTGCGGGGCCATAACAGGGCCATAAAAAATTGGGGTCCATGCATTCATTTCTTAACCAGAAATAGAAAATCTAGATTTTTAAATCCTGGAGATGCCATTCCTATTTTTTTTGGCGCTAAATTACATTGTAGTGAATTCTTAATGCAACATCATTGTGCCGATTACACCCGCTGTTCATTAAAACACAATAAAAATTACTGTCATATACAAATTTATTGATGAAAGAAGAGTTAACAGTCTTCATTTGCCTCTAATTGTATGTCCCACAGTAGATTTCAAGTGCTTAAATATATTTCTTCATATTCCATTGCAAAAACTTTCAAATTCACTTTACCGATTTGATGACATTAGTCATATTTCCATAGTTTTTGATAAATTTGGATGCACAATTATCTGCCTTTGCTACTGTATCGTATGCCTTTAAGCTATTTCACCAATTATTAGGAAACTTCGATAAAAGTTTGATAGGAATTCTTCATTTACAACATATATCATACCTGAGTTTCTAGATTATCACCAGAACAATTATCATGTGATTTGACACTTTCTTCCATTTCTGCTACAGTTTTCCTATTTTCCAACAAACTTTTCATACATTTGTCCCTATTGCCATGGAACTGATCCAAGCGACTCCTTGATGAAGAAACCATCTTTTTAAGTTTATCTGCTAACTATAAAGAACCATGTAGGTAAAATTATTTTCCTAATTTCATATATAAAAAATTATTGCAAGTATCTAACATGATCTATGTACTCAAAGGGAGACAACTTACATGCCTTTACATTCTATTATCTTGCTCTTAATATTTTAATAGGCATGTATCAATATCTACTGATGACCAAATTTATAAACTTGAATCCTAATGTCACACCTACCTGAATCCTTGAAGTCACCACCCAATTATATTTATCATTTTTTTCTGTTTAAACAAAGGTTGCATTAATGAATAATTTTGTATGTGCAATTAAACCTTACATAGAATTTTTTTATTTGCAAATCAATTAAGCAATTGTTAATTGCAAAATTGAAAACCCAATTCATTAGCGCCATAATATACTACTCAGAGAAAGTTTTGCAACATTTCTATTTAGATCAATGGGGGTCAAACTTTAAGTGCCAATATCTTTGTAGAAAATTCAAAATAATTTGACATTAACAGTATTCCTGTTTTAAAAAATGTTGAATTGATTAAAGAAAACTAAAAAATTATGATAAAAATTTGGGTAGGGGTAAAAAAGTGCCCCTCCCAAATTTTTTTCTCATTATTTTTGCAAGGGAAATGTGAAGTTTCTTTTCATATATAATCAATTATACCACTTTAGTCAATTATGTTCATTGTATGCATTTTTTTTTATCTAGACCAAGTGGGAAAAAAAAGGTCTAAATTGTGACTTTCAATTTTGACCCTTTCTCTCAAAGTTTGCAAACAATGTAGCTGTCTGAAATTTTACCAACATAACTGCAATACTTTTGAATACATAAATGATTGAAGGTAAGAAAACACAAACTTGAAAGGTAAATCGAGATTTTGTTTTACTTTATTGTCTGCAATTCAGAAGTTGTGTAAAACTACTGTTGAGTAATATATATCCTCCAGGTAATAATTTGTTGACCAATTCTAAGAAAGTATTGTTCAGTTATCTCCTCCTTGGTATTATGATTACATTTTTGCTTATAGACAATTTCTCAATAGAAAGTATACAATAGCTTCCTATTTGAATGACAAACATGGGATACAACTATTTTTTTGTGAAAAGAAAGAATTATTATGTCTAGAAATAACAGCAATGTTTACAATTGATAACAGTGTTCAGAATTTATGTTTAATCAATTACCCCTGAAGCGTTATCACTAATTAAAGCCATCCTGGATAGGCATTTTTCTTTCCTGTGGATTTTCCACTCCAAATCTCTACTCTTCAGCTCAGCATCTAAAAATTCTCTACAGAACTTTAACCTAGTACAGAATACACCGTCTAATTTTTCTTTCAGTCTGAAAAAATAAGAGATGAAATAATAATTCTTAGAATTTGAATTTTATAATTTAAGAAGCTTTAAAACTATTTATTATCTACTCAGTAGAAAATACAAGTAAATTGTATGTGAAAATACAATTTATGGCAATCTTGATGTATCAGCCATCTGTGATGATATAGATATCAGTCATGATTGCAAAGGCTTTATCAAAAAATTTTAAAAATCAAAAGGGAACTTATGTCAATATATATAAACAATTCACCAAAGTTTCATGAAAATTGCTCATAGAATTCTTGAGTTATAGTCAGACAAGAGTGCACACGCTGAAATGTCTCGCCTTCTTTACTAATCATTGATATTATGTTGATAGTCCTAAATATAAAGCTTTACTACAACTATCACATACACTTAACATGATTCAAGAAAATGAGGTCAAGGTCATATAAACCAAACAAGAAATACATGTACACCTTACAATCATTCAATACACTAAATATAGTTGACCTATTGTTTATAGTTTCTAAGATACAGACTTAACCAAGAAAACTAAACATTGACCAATGAACCAAGAAAATGAGGTAACGGTCAGATGAACAATGCCAGGCAGACATGTACTACAGCTTGCAATCCTTCCATACAACAAATATAGTTGACCTATTGCTTATAGTATTAGAAAAACAGACCAAAACACAAAAACTTAACACTGAGCAATGAACCGTGAAAATGAGGTCAAGGTCAAATAAAACCTGCAAGACTGACAGGTACGTCATAAAGAATTTCCATACACCAAATATAGATGACCTATTGCATAAAGTATTAGAAAAAAAGACCAAAACTCAAAACCTTAACTTTGACCACTGAACCATGAAAATGAGGTCAAGGTCAGAAGACACCTGCCCGCTAGACATGTACACCTTACAATCATTCCATACACCAAATATAGTAGACCTATGGCATACAGTATAAGAAAAACAGACCAAAACACAAAAACTTAACTATAACCACTGAACCATGAAAATGAGGTCAAGGTCAGATGACACCTGCCAGTTGGACATGTACACCTTACAGTCCTTCCATACACTGAATATACTAGACCTATTGCTTATAGTATCTGAGATATGGACTTGACCACCAAAACTTAACCTTGTTCACTGATCCATGAAATGAGGTCGAGGTCAAGTGAAAACTGTCTGACGGGCATGAGGACCTTGCAAGCTACGCACATACCAAATATAGTTGAACTATTGCATATAATATTAGAAAAAAAGACCAAAACTCAAAAACTGAACTTTGACCACTGAACCATGAAAATGAGGTCAAGGTCAGATGACAGCTGCCCGCTAGACATGTACACCTTACAATCATTCCATACACCAAATATAGTAGACCTATGGCATACAGTATAAGAAAAACAGACTAAAACACAAAAACTTAACTATAACCACTGAACCATGAAAATGAGGTCAAGGTCAGATGACACCTGCCAGTTGGACATGTACACCTTACAGTCCTTCCATACACCGAATATACTAGACCTATTGCTTATAGTATCTGAGATATGGACTTGACCACCAAAACTTAACCTTGTTCACTGATCCATGAAATGAGGTCGAGGTCAAGTGAAAACTGTCTGACGGGCATGAGGACCTTGCAAGCTACGCACATACCAAATATAGTTATCCTATTACTCATAATAAGAGAGAATCTAACATTACAAAAAATCTTCTTTTTTTTTTCAAGTAGTCACTGAACCATGAAAATGAGGTCAAGGACATTGGACATGTGACTGACGGAAACTTCATAACATGAGGCATCCATATACAAAGTATGAAGCATCCAGACCTTCCACCTTCTAAAATATAAAGCTTTTAAGAAGTTAGCTAACGCCGCCGCCGCCGTAGCCGCCGCCGCCGCCGCCGGATCACTATCCCTATGTCGAGCTTTCTGCGACAAAAGTCGCAGGCTCGACAAAAACTGGAAAATCCTCCATTTTTGATGAATAAAATCCCAGAACTTGGAAACATAACATCTTAAATTTATAAATATTGAAAGGGAGCTTACATCAATGGATATAAACAATTCACCATAGCTTCATGAAAATTGGTGTTAGCATTTTTGAGGGATTGCCCAAAGTGTTGACGACGGAGGGATGTACAGTCCAACATAAATCCAAATGTATTGTTACCAATATACTAACTGTTTGAAGTTTTATTCCTATTCCAATGGATAACAAAAAGATTTAACCCACCGGAGCTTGGAAAAATGTGTAAACTGTATTAAAAAAAAAAAAAAAAAAATCTGGAAATTTCATAAATGATCTTGGCGCATTAATGTCATGTGAAAACATCATCATCATTCGAAAGAAAACTATACTCTCCAGCTGAAGGTTATTCTGTTACTTGCATGCTTTAAGTTCAGATACTATATTAGGTGTAATACCACCATTGTTTTTTCCCCTATTAGTTTTTGTTAAATTTGCACTTTTCAAAAAATTGTGCAGAATTTATCTTTGTTTCAAATAAAAGAAATACTTAGCATGAGCAAAGTTTTATCCTGTCCAGTACTACAGACAAAATTTCACTTTCATTGCATATAAGATAATAACCATCACTGGAAGTTAACCAATCAAATTTCCACCCCTTTCTTTCCTGTTTACAAGCTTTAGTAACCATGTAACCTTGTTTCCAAAATATTTTACAGAAACACCAAACATGCCAAATAAAAAAAGAATGGTGCTTTGAAACACCCAAGATATATGTTTATGAGTCAGAAATTTTTTACTGCAGGGAAATGTATGATTGATTTCCTACAACTGTCAAATTCAAGGGAATATTTTTTTTCTACCCTTTTTCGTATGCAACCGGATGTGACGTACTATGATTTGGTGGTATTACACCTCTATTTAAAATGGAGTTTTTGAAGTCAGTGTTGTTTAATAATCGATCATATTGCATTAATCACATATTAATGGCAAGTCAATATGGCGGCTCACTCCTTATATGTACAGTCTTAGGTCAAAAGTGTTTCACCTATCCCAAAATTCCCTATTATTTCATATAAAAAAAAAAAATTGTAAAAACATTGTCAAAAACTTATTTGACATGTTTGAGGTCCAATTTTGATGAAATTTTTAATGTTAAACTCACAAATATGTAAAGTTTTTTAATGGTTATTCTGCAATATTTTTTATGCCATGTCATTACTGAGAAATCATTATTTGTATACAAATATTAAAATTTAGTGTCATTTTTTCCAATAAAGTCATATGATTTTTTTCGTGCAGGAATTAATATTTGTTTTTAAACAGTGATTTTCCTAAAAATGTAAATCATAAATATATTTCATAATTATTGCAAGAAACTGCAGACATCTCTGTATTTTAAAATTGGAAAAAAATCATTCAATATGGAAAATAAATTACTTCAGTAGAATTTTATTTAATAAACTGTTAACACAGAGATATGTCTTGCCTTTTTGTTATTTTGATTAAATTGGAATTGTTGAAATTAAAATAGCAATAAATTAACATGTAAGATATGCAAATATAAAAGTCAATGAACCATGACTGAAGGTACAAGGCCAAACAATCTCCTTGGAAATGAGATGTGCCAATGCTAATACATATGCATACCAAATACCATAGACATATAAACTGACCTAATCACAAACTAATACATGTAAACTAAGTAAAAGTTTCAAGGTCAACAGACTGACTGAGGGGGAAGGGCGAAACAATTTCCATGGAAATGAGATGTGCCAATGCTTATACAACTGCATACCAAATAGCACTGACCTACCACTAGTGGTTTCCCATAAACTGACCTAATCACAAACTAATACAGGTAAACTCAGTAAATATCTCCAAATCAATAGACCATGACTGAAAGGGCTGGGCCAAACAATCGCCATGGATATGGGATGTATCAATAATAACAGTGTTCTCCCCAGAAATTTTGGATAGCATCACATTTGTCGTAAAAAAATAAATTGTATTTTTTGCAATGTCATTTGACGCGTCGCGGCGATGGTCTATTTCCTTTATGTTATATATGTTTATAATGTTCAATTCATAACTGAGAATACAATTAAACTTTAACCATGATAACAGTTGTTTCAGTTTATGTTTTCTATATTCATTTATTGTTACAGAATTATTTTTTTCCTCTTGGGCCAAATAAAAATATATGTGTGGTTCCAGTTACCCTACCTACTCAACTAAATGAATGAATGAATGGTTTATTATAGTGCAACCTGTATATATACAATACTAAATATCTAGCAAAAAAAAACAACTGGTTTTTATATAAAAGTGGAAGAGAAAGTATCATATAGCAATAAAATTTCAATTAAAAAACTTTTTTCTTTATCATGTCTATGGAATTCATTGTTTCATGGTACTCAATGAATTAGTCCCAGTTGTTTCTTATATATAAATGATATATATTTTTAACAAAGTTAAGCTACTGTACTTCAGTCAGTATATTAAAACGATGTATTTTCAAAAAGAATACATTTAGCAAAGATATCTAATAAATAGTCTGTTAATGTGTGTGGAATGCGTACGGTAGTTTTCTCTTTTGTGATCATTTTTTTCTGTCTACTGTGCCATTTGTGCATCTGTAGTTATTATCGTAAAAATGCGTAATTTTGTCATATCTGGTCCAGTTCCGATCCGTAGTTTACACAAATATTTCAATGGCGGTGGAAGAAAAAATTACGTAAATAAACAATGCTTGACAAGAAATTGGGAATGAATATGACGCTTTTAATGCATTAAATGGATGAAACATTTACTAAAGCCAATTATGATCTCTTTCTAAAGAAGTATCAAACTTATTTAACTCAAAATCAAAGTTTAATATACGCTCTCGATTAACTAGTTATACCGGAAATGAAAGAAAGTAATTTTTTAAAAGTTGTAAAAATATACGACCTAACCTCTTTTCTAAAGAGAGAAATCGTTTGTATCTTTGAATTTGGATTATGCAAACGTAGATTTCGAATTGTTTTGATTTTCTGACTTACATTTACTCCATGTCGAAATTTGTGATTGGACCACGTGGTATTATTCATGTCACAAGTGTCAGCTTGGGGTATTCATATCCATTCAGTTATCACCCAAAGGGCAATTAACACCTATGTAATCACTCTTAATTGCCTCTATTGTCCAACTTGAAGGGATTACAATTAAAGGTGATATAATTTTTATGATCACAAGCGGTAATTAGATGAAAGTTCAATATTTAGGACATGGTTTTGCGATTTACACACAAGAAAAATAGCATCCTCAAAATAATTATAGCGTCGCGGAAATTATTATAGCATCACGGGAAAAAAATATAGCGTCTCGGTGCCGCGATGCTAAAACGGCCTGGGGAGAACACTGATAATAATATAACTGCATACCAAATATCATTGACCTACCTCTAGTGATTCCCCATAAACTGACCAAATCACAAACTAATACATTGTTGACGCCACCACCGCCAAAAACAGCATACCTTTTATGAAATAATAGGTGAATCACTTTTGACCTAAGAGTGTTGTTATGTCATGTTTTACACTCACTAACATCCCACCAGCAAGAGTGATTTTCACAGAATCAACTTAATTGTAAACTATAGATGTAAATACCTGCAGATTTCTACACTGCTTGTCTGAGTAACAGTCATCACAAGTTTTCCTTCTTCATAAAATCGTAATTTCTCTTTTAATTCCACAATCTGTAATTAACAAAATATATTTCAGTTTCACATTTAGATATATAGTTTAAGGTTTTGTGGTAACACAACTTGGAGAACCATGAATTTCTAATTTTACATTTTTCTTTAGTACTGACATGATTTGTAACATACATATAACATGTATAACAAATTCACTGTTGATAAATAAAGAAATTATTAAAAAACTCTCAGAGTTCCTTTTAGATGAATTTGACTATTCTTAAAAGGTCCCTTTTGATAATATAGCCCCTAATGTTTCAATATATTCTTACATCCCAGCTGGCTTTCCATTGTTTATGTTTGAGCATTCATGAACATAACTCTAGAAAAGATCTTTGGTCACACAATATTAAAGTGTTAATTTTACTTAAATGTTTTCTTAGAATTGAAAAACTTAAAACTTTTAAATACTTTTTTACATAAAATTACATAATAGAACTGGATTGGTTACTTTTATAGACTATTGGCAGTATTTGCATGTCGTCAAAAAAATCAACACAACAATTCATTCGGATGAAGATATGAAATAAGTGATGAAAAAGGACATCCTATGAGCAAGATTCCATGAAAGTTTTATAAAATTCTGTCATGTAGTTCAGGAGCAGTTAATGATACAAAAGTGGGACTTAAGAACAGACAGAGGAACAGACTGATATCCTTATCATGATACAATTCTGGCTTCTAAAAGTGGGGATATAAAAATATATGTTAATACAACCTCCTTCCTCAGTTCCTCTACAATCTCTCCATATCTGGCCACATGAAAATCTACATTTAGTACATTCTTCTTCAGCTGTAAACAAAAAAATTAAAATGCATTTTTTTTTTAAATTTGTAAGCAGATTTCTCAAGTTTTAAATAATAACAATTTCATCTATAAAACTACATAATTGTATTGGACTGGTTACCTTTTCTGGACTCTGGGGTATTAAAAACTTAACCTATTGTAAGGACACTTTTCTATTGTTGAGGATTGTATGTTAATATCTAGATATTTTTTTTTTGTGTTGCTGGGTCAACTATTTCATAAGCATTTACACACTGGTAGACCTATTTGGAAAATTCCCGCGATTTTTGGCTAATCTCCACGAAACGGAAAATAATTAGAGGTTCATCGTAAATTTGCTGTATCACAGAAAATTATGCATGTTATCCGGAGATTTTCCGTGTCGGCGGGAATTAGCCGTTTGTCCGATAAAACGGGTGTGTATTGAGTCAGTGATAGAACCAGTGATGCGTGAGCGACGGTTATTAATAGATCGTTGTACATAGATGATTATAGAATCCATTATGCGTGAGCGACGGTTATTAATAGATCGTTGTGATATATACAATGTTTACAGTCAGATTAAAAAAACTATCTTATTTCCCTTTTCAGTCGAGATAAAACGGTGTTTTTGATAATAAAGTTACTTACAATTTAAATATCAAATGTTGTCATTGTTCATTAAAGAAAAATCTATTTTAATGTGACCAATGAACAAGATGAATACACGTGTTATCTTTGCTATAGACAACTACATTTGTTTTTAATATATGAATGGAAATCGTATTTACGTTAAAAAACGTAAACTAATCTACTATTCATGATAGATTCATAATGTGAATCGATAGTTTGGGTCAGAAACTTTGTTCTCACTTTATAAAATTCTTCACAATTGTCATGTTTAGAAAAAAATCAGTCCTTGTACTAATAGAGTCTACGGAAGATACCGTAATCGGGCATGATGTCAAAATGATCTGACACTTGTCCTAGTGTATTTAACACCTGCTGTGATATTGCTTGTGCAATACCAGTGGAAGGTCGTAAATCAATCTGTACCCGATTGATCAGAATTTAATTTTACCTGTACATATATTTAGTCGTTATGGAGGATATCATAGATACATGTTATATATTGTATTGTAATTAATGAAGATAATTTAAATATATTATATAATAAAGACCTATTTGCATATAAATCGAACATATTCATTCCAACCAAGAAGGTTTGAAATTGAAAGTTTTCAACAAACTTTTGATAAAATCAGTCCCTTAAATTACATACGAGTCATTCGTTTATAGTTACAATTGTTACCCTTCTAACGTCTTATTTCTTTGTGCTATTAAAAGAACTCAAAATTTTCCATATCAGATCACATTTCGTACGAGTCCTAAAAATTATAATTGAATAATCTTCTATTTTCCTTTCGACACCACGTTCCCCATAGGAGCCTCAAGATCTAATCATACCTGTCAATCATTAGCCACAAGTTGGTCCCCAGATAGATCACTCTGCTCTCTATTATGCGTTGAGAAGTTTTTGTAAATTGATTTGTGATATAAATAAAGTGATGTGAAGTTTATTTTACCGACGATCAAAATTTGATGTGATTCGATTTTTCTTTTACACAAAGGTGTTTTTTAATATGTCATAAAATACATGGAAATAAAACATTTGAGTTCTTTTTTCCCGTATCTATATTCATGTATACTATGAACATACATTTATTATCAATAAAGTATATTTGATATAAACTATCAATTCCAAGTTTCTTCTACACTGCGATCACTGCTAAATTGATTTCTCCTAAAATAACCCAAACAGTAGAATCATAAGAATAGATGACAAATGCAACTATGCATGGAACCTATAGAACACAGAGTCATGATGATTAATTTATTGTGGAAGGAAGAGAAGCGACTAACAAAATGAGGTCTTCTCGTTTAAGTAGTATAGATAGATAGATACTATAAGTCGGAATCGGAGAAGCTTTTGTAAAGAAACATAACAAGCTAAACACAAATTCATAAACATCACATAAGTTCATCCTTAACCAGGCTATATATCAAGTCGACAAACATTGGAAATGAATGAAAAAGAAAGGATTAGATGTGAACAAAAAAAAACATAAATTGCCAAAGAGTGAAGTGGTAGAGCCCATTTCTGTAACCTTTATTTGTTGCATTCTGTGTGATAAAATTTAGTAGTTTTGAACCTACTGAGATTTTAATACCTTATTTTTGAATGATGGAACCTTATCAAAATGTTTGTCAATTAAGATAAATTGAACATGGTGTTAACAGTCAGCAAACTGTCACACAAGAAATATATTTAATGTCCCAGAACATGTAAAATAAACTACCTTTGTGAGGACGTTGAATAAAATGTGTCGCATATATCTCAACTCCTCTTCGTGCCATGTCAACAGAATTTTAATTTATACCGTCTTAGATGACAATTTATCAGAGGCTGCTTCAATGGTATATATGCATAATATAAACTTTATACATAAATCACATTTCGAATGTTGTCTTTTCGTCCTCCAACATTCTTTGTCAAAATCCGGGATTCGCACTCGACTGTTTTGGAGTCAGAGATACATCTTACCATAGATGTAAAATTACATCTATAACCTTACACAGGTACACTGGCTAGTGAAGGGACAATAAACGGAAGTATAAATTGCCCCAGGTATTTTAAGTCGTATATTGAGTGTAATGTGTACACCGCCAGGTGTGAGTGATTTCAAAGATAATCAAAATGATGTAATTCATGTAGTAACTTCCACGCAGCTACGCATCATCGCACGTAATATTGGACATCGCAAAAAAAATAGAATTTTGTATGTGCCTAGTTAGATATTTAAAATGATATAACATCCAATGAAAAAAGAAATGTTTAAGATGGACATTTCTGATTTACTGGTGAATTAAAAATTCCATAGAATATCTGAAATGATTTTAAGGAGCATGCATCTCGTTTATCTGATACTAAGTGAGTACAATAAGTCAAAGTGTGAGTCGAACTATAAGTGTGTTTTGTCTTAAAATGTGTAGGTGTGTTATTTTGTTCACAGAACGAAGGGCAAATTGAAATTGAAACAAAAGGAAAATAAAAAATAAAAGTCATTACCGTACCATAAGTTGATAAACAATAAAAAATAAAATATATTAATTACCTATTCCGGCACACATGAGTTCAATTTATTAATCCCACAAGGGATACCAGCTACCAAGGAGACATTTCATATATCGGTACTCAAATCACTTCAATATTTAATTTCTCCGCGTGTATACCTGATGAAGTCTCGATTATTTCACAAAGACGGAGTACGGATTAAAAAAAATAAAGGTAGTAAAAAATATATCATTTATAAGCTAGCACACCAGTGGCGGATCCAGAAATTTTCATATGCACTGACTGCCTAAGAGGGGGTCGCTTCAGTCATGCTTCAGTGATTCCCAATACATGTATAATCAACCAAATTTTTTTTCAAGAAAAGGGGTACCTGCATGGCCCCCTCTAAATCCGCTTCTGTCACACTATTCCATTAGTACTTTAAAACTTCTTGCACGGTGAACTACTATTAAAATTAATTCGTTACCAGTCACTTATGCCCACCCCCTTTCACTTATTTTTCATGCTCATCTTTTCCGTTTGTAGGAAGGGTCTAAAATGCCTTTAATTTTATGTTTTATTATTTATGAATTAAAGAACAGTTTCATTTAGAGTAAAAACTATGTCCGACACTCCCTTTATCTGAAAAAGCTTTCATTATTTAATAAAAAAAAAGTTTTATTTTATCTTATCCCGTTAGTTTAGAAAGTCCCTTTAGTCTAGAATTTTAGTTTATTGAAGGACCTTTTTGTCTGATTTTAAAAATATACCTTAAATTGTAAAAATATTGGAATAAGCTCTTGCCGCGATATAGCATTTTTGTGCTAATGCAGCGTTAAGCAAACAACAATCAATAGAAAGTCCCTGGATTAACTTAAAATGGTCATTCATTCTCTCTCATTGATTATCCAAGTTTATCTAATCACTTGACTATGCACCAATACCCTAAAATTTCTTTACACAAGGACACCTGTGGTACAGCAAGGACTCGTATATATAAAATTTAGTTCGTTGTACGTTCATGGATATTCATGACATGTGACCATTTGTGTGCACTTAGAACTTGTCCGGTCATCTTTCTGACCATCGATCAGATCGTGCAAGGGCTGTGTAGCCAGTCAAGGTCCTTTTCAAAATTCCATATATATATCTGACCATCTACTCGCGCTTTAGCCTAAAGAAAAGACACGTGTATTCTCGGATGACGTAATGAGAATTAGTATTTGTAATTATGATATTGTTATTATATATAAAAAAAGAAGATGTGGTATGATTGTCAATGAGACAACTCTCCACAAGAGACCAAAAATGACACAGAAATTAACAACTATAGGTCGCCGTACGGCCTTCAACAATGAGCAAAGCCCATACCGCATTGTCAGCTCGAAAAGACCCCGACATGTTCATATCAATGATCCACTCTTTGAAACCTAACTTAAGTATGACGAAAGTGCTATATATAACGAAAAAATTCCTCCCAAATTGATAATAGGTATTTCAGAATTATTGATAGATGTCGTGTCAGAGCCACGCTTTCAGTTAGGTATTGCAAGGACGTATATTAGATACACCTCCTTGGATATTTCAGTGACATCCTGTCGACTAAAAATTCATATTACACAATTATATAATACAGGTTCATGGATGGCCTCTTTATTGAGGTACCCGGTGTGCACAGGTAACATTTATTGAACCATATATTTGTGTCTTAATAGATATAAGAAGATGTGGTATGAGTGCCAATGAGACAACTCTCCATCCAAGTCAAAATTTATAAAAGTAAACCATTATAGGTCAAAGTACGGTCTTCAACACGGAGCCTTGGCTCACACCGAACAGTAAGCTATAAAGGGCCCCAAACGTTGTTTATCTTGTGTGTGTTTGAAATTATAATTCCACCTTTTAATGAATG